CTCTGAGCTCTGAGCTCCCTCCGTGTCTTTTCCAGGCCTGTGTCCACTCCCTCCACCCATCTCAGATCCACTTTGTTCCCCATGCCAGATTGCAAGCTGGCACCTCCAGAGCCATCCAGCCACACTTGGCATCTCCCTTACCTTCTCCTGTTGCCACCCTGGGCATGTCTGGCCCTCATCCTCCAGGCCTACAGTTCTGGAACAGCCTCCTGAGTAATTCCACTGCCCTGCCGGCCAGTAGCTCACCAGCTCTGCACATGGCTGTCAGAGGCACTTTCCTAGACAGACACAGTCATACTTCTGTACCTCTGCCCAATGTGCCTTTCCTTTTTATCTACCAAGTACTCATCCCAGGTCCACAGCCAGGTGAGGCCATGTCACCTCTGCAGGCTGAACTGGGCTCAGGATCTCTAGGTTCTCATGGCAGACATTCATATCCCTCCCTGGCCTCACCTCAGTCACCACATAATCCATTATAAGTCTCTGTTTCCAGTAATGTTTCCCACCATGTCTGAGCTCCAGGAAGCTGTTGTCTACACCCCCATCTCCTATCTTCTTTCTTGTATTGTTTTCTACTGAACACTGAGAACACGCTTGTGTTGGCTGTCTGTCCATCTTCACCCATTAGAATAGAAACTCTGAGTGAAGAAGCTTTAGTCTATTTTGATGTGTCCTCAGGGTCTAGGATAGTGTCTGGTGCCTGGTAAGCACTTCATAAGCATTTTTTGAATGAGTTAGTGAATCACTGATTGATTTTATATTACCTAGTGTTATATCCCAAGTAACTCACGTTACCAAGAGTATAGTCATTGCTAAGTATGGATGCTTCTCCAGATACCATGAGCTACCTATAACTTCTTGGATACATGTTTTTAAAAACCCCTTTTATGGGACTGGAGAGATAGCTTAGCAATTAAGAGCCTGACTGCTCTTGCAGAGGACCTGGGTTTGATTTCCAGCACCCACATGGTAGCTAACAACCATCTGTAACTCCAGTTCCAGGGGATCTGACACCTTCTTCTGTCCTCCTCGGGCATTGTACAATATGAGTGCACTTACGCACATGCAGGCAATACACTCATACATGTAAAATTAAAATGATAAAATATTTTTAAAACTTAAAAGCAGTAGCAGCATGTATGGTACACTGTGCTTGTTTTGTTTACCCTCCTCATCACGTAGTTGAGCTGGATCTGTGGCTCACTGTGGCTGTCTGCATATTGCTAGTCAGAATAAAGATTAATATTTAGCACTGAAGACATGATTTGTATTGAACAGGTATCGCCTTGGTACCACTGTAAAGTTTTTGGTGTATGTATGTGTTCATGTGTGTGTTTGTGTGTGTGTGTGTGGAGGTCAGTGATTGACATCCGGTATCTTCCTCTATTGAGTTCCACTTTATTTCTGGGGACAGGGTCTCTCACTAAACCTAGAGCTCAATGATTTGGCAAGACCAGCTGCCTAGAGAACCCCAGGGATCCTCCTGTCTCTACCTCCCCAAATTGCAAGATTATAGGCATATGCCACCACATCTGGCTTTTTACATGGTGCTGGGGAGCTGAACTCAGGCCCTCATGCTTGCACAGCAAACACTTTACTGACTGAGTCATCTCCCCAGCCTCAAATTGAAAGCTCTTAAGTAGAGCCACTGTGATTCAGAGACTGTCTGCATCTGTTCTTGGCTGAATGCTTTATCATATAGTTATAGCTTGCTTTAAAAAAAGTCAAACATTCGTGTTGTGTTCAACGTCTCCTTTCTGAGCCTAGTCACTTAGTTTTGAATCCTCTATGCCTCGGTATAATCTCTTTTCCCTGTCTGTTCCTTGCCCTTGAGTATATCCCAGGCACTACTCCCTCCCATGTCTGCATTCAGGCAGAGACACTATTGGCCCATTTGCAAACACTGAGCACTTGAGGGAAGTGTCCCTCCTGCAGCCACAGTCCTCCACCAACAAATAATCTGTTTGGCTCTTTCCTTGAGGTGAGGAGAAACTGACCCCCTTGGAACCTTCACCCTAGCCATCGATGCCCATCACTGGCATTATTAATAATAAACAGATATTAAACATATGTAGGTACCATGTATATTTTTACAGAAAATGTCCCTTTAAAGAATCAACTCCTTTTAACATTTTAAACACTTTGGATGGAAATCTTTCTAATATTTACTTTGCATCTCCCTGGTCTTCTTCAATTGCATGCTGTAAAGAGAGCATCCATCTAGTCTTTTACAATGCAGCCTCATCTCTGTGCATACTAGCTATTGTTTTGTGGTGTGATTTTGTGCCAGGTAAAAGGAAAAGTGGTAAGCTTTGGAACTACACAGTCCACACAATGACCCCTTTCACAGTCACTCGGGTCTCCTTGAAATTATCTCTGAATCCTTTAAAGTGTTCTTAACCAACAGTGGGCCAAAGAATCAGAAACTAAAGGTTATTCGAATTCAATGTAAATAGTCTATGTGGCCAAGAGAGTCTCCTATTTGTAAGTCTGTTTTATTTAAAGCTGGACTTAACATAAGTTTTTCTGTTTATCAGTGGTCTTTCTCATTTAACTCCTACTTTTCAATTATATTCAGACTTCTTGAGGTTAGATAGATGACTTCTAGAAAAGTAGGTCTTCAATGCATTTAGTATTTTATACGTTGTCATCTATTTCTGTTAACTATCTTTATGCAGATGTCATGACTTTTCAAGTGGATTGTTCCCTGGTTAGCTTACTAACTTCCGAAGGCTAAGATGTCTTGATAGACATTCATTCATTTGCTAAGTAGAACAAGTACTATGTGGGAAGATCTATAATAAAAAACAAGGTAAGCTGGGTGTGATGGTGTGCATGTAAACACACACACACACACACATACACACACACACACACACACACACACACACACACACACACACACACCTGTAATACCAGCACTTAGAAAGCAAACAAAGGAAGATCAGGACTTTAAGGGCAGCCTGAGCTACATAATACCCAGTCTCTGAAAACCTAACAAATAAACCAACCTACGGAACAAAAACTCAGAGTACTTTGGAAATGCAAATGGGAGAAGTAGAGAGGGTTCCCTCTACCTGGGGATTTGAGCTGGGTCTTGGTAGACAGACAAATCTCATCAGGTAGCATTACAAGCCTTGGGAAAATGAAAATGAGGAGGGATACGGGGAGAAATGCAGTCATGCATGTGGAATGCAGTTACCTGAACTTTTGCGATTGCCCAGTACACAGTGTCTCTCTTCCCAGGTCAGTTTAGAATAAACAGATCAGTAAAACAAAAGAGTGACAGAGGTGCCTAACCCATTACCTTTGTTATAGATCTAGTTGAAGCTGGAGGGGTCAACTTCAGGTGGAAGCCCAGCCAGACTGAATGGCTTTGACACAGAGGCAGCTTGCTACAATGCAGGCCTCCAGCTTTCATGAACTGCCACCCAGAGCCTGAGAAAGTCTCCAACTGAACTTTTCAACTTTAAAATTTAAGATTATTGGGTTAAAAACAAATAATAAATGGCACTTCAAAATCAACTTATTATTCCCAAATAGTTTATTTTGGATTATCCCACACACAAAAATCAACATCGTATTGTATGATGACTTGACCTAATAACCTTGATTTGGAATTACATTAAGGAAAAATCACCGTGGATCTCCATATTACATTGAGATCCTTCAAAAGCATCACAGCTTGAACTAGAAAGTCTTGGCCTGCTTTAACTTTGAAAGTTTTAAACAATAAAATGATTTGGGCCTCTTACTCCAGTGCTCTGTGGTTTTGTACCTGAGCATGGTGGACAGGCTTTACCTGATGAATCTGGTTGCTGGCCTCCAGATCTTCTGCCCTCTGGAGTCATTTAGAGGTTGGGGTTCAGGTGAGGGTACAAATGGTCTGGTCCACCAAGGGGTGGGGGCAATGGCTCTGGTGACCATGAGCAGTGAGAATCAGCTCCCTGAACATTTGGGTGTATTCTTAAGGAAGCGGCATTATGATGGAGAAAATGGAGGGCCGGGAGAGATGAACAAGTGGATGGTGGGAAGTGAGGACTTCTTGGGAGTACAGGTTCCTATGAGGCTAGTTCGGAGTGAGCCTGAATTCCTCAGCCCAAATTCCTTCCAGCATTCCTACAGTCAAATCTTGCAAATTCAGTACTTCATGGCATGCTGACCCTATGGGAGACTCTGTCATGGCAGCAGCAGGGCTGACAAGTAGGACACAGGTTTCTACCATAGCAACCAAGTAAGGAGAGGGCAACTATTCAGGAAACTAGCTGCCAACAGCAGCATGCACAGGGCCTGTCAGCTTTCTAGCTTTCTATAATCCTCACCACAGTCTTTCGAAGCCAACATTAGCATCCTTATGACTTTCCAGACAGGGAAATAAAGGCTCAGAAAGGTTAGTGGTCCTGGCTGAATCAGCCTGGAACCTTTTTTGGTTATTTGCCTCCAGAGATGTGCTCTACCGGCGGTTTCTAGGAAATCAGTAGAGCATGGGCATGTCTGCTCTAGTAGACAGGAACAGAGAGAGGCGGCTGTAGGGGTGTGGGTGCTGGTGGTTATTTGTGGGGTCACTTTTGGGGCTACATGGGCGTTTAAGTGTGAGCGCTATGTTGGCTGAAATAAGTATGGGGGAGGGGTAGAAGTTACTTCTCGAGTCACATGAATATGGAGTCGGGGCTTTGACCAAGGCAAACGACACAACGAGCTTGGATTTTATGCACAATTGTTAAGTGTGTGTTTGTGTAAGCGGATGAGCTTGAAGGCACGTTAGGGTGTTGACTGGGGAGATGTCAATCCCCGGCCCAAGTGCTCATGATGTGGTTTCCTGGATTGTGCGCTGTGTGTGCACACGGTGGTCAGTCTCCAGGCTCTGTGTGGATGGGTGGGAGCTCGGTGGCCCGCCCCGCCCTCCGCTGCAGGTGGGCCGGCCGGCCGCCGGGCCCACAGCGCTCGCAGCTCTTGGCTGGCGGCCGCGCCGGGCTCGCAGGGCTGGGCTGGGGCTGCGGGGCGGCGCCGGGACAGGAAGCGGAAAGCAGCAGTGCAGCGGCTGCAGCGCCGGGGCTCTGCCTCTACGGGAGCCCAGCGCAGGCCGCGGAGCCGGGGCCGCTGCGAGCCGAGACCGCGGGCCGCGGAGCCCGGCCGGCAGCGCGGAGGTGAGTCCGGGGGAACAGACCTCGGGTGGGAGGATCCAACCCGGCTCCGCGCGCCCCTGCGTCCTGGGACTCAGATCCCGGTTCGGGGCCCCGGCCGGGAGCCCCTTGGACCCTTCAGGGTTGTGCCTGCAGAGACCCCGCGCCTCCCATCCCTCCCAGGCTGTCCCCGCCGCATCCCATTCCTCCGAGTCCCGGGGCTCCATGCTGTACTTCGGACGCCCATTTTCTCCCTCGCTGGCCTTTGGGGTGCGCCAGGGTGCGCGTGCCCCGCGGGACTCCCGGCCGGCCGCCGGGGAGTGGCTGGGCGTCGGTGGAGGCAGCGGTTGCTGGACCAGCCGTGCGGGGCGGAACCCGACTGCCCCGCGCCTCCCAGAGCCGGGTGCGCACCGCGCTTCTCTCCCGGCGCGGGACGCGATCGGGTCCCAGCCAGGGTCCGGGGATCACCTGGCGAGTCGCCAGGCACCGGGACAGAGCCAGCCTGTGTTTCACTTAGAGAACAGCGGGCCGGGGAGGCCTGGGGGGCGCGGCCCGCTGCGCATCGCCGAGCGCAACAGGCAGGTAGGAGTTTACTTTCAAAAACGCCGGGGTGGAGCAGAGGCGTGGAGTCCCTGTCCTAGGAAATTCGCCGCGCTGGGGCAGCCTTTGCCACCGTAGATCTCTTTTCATTCTGCAGTCTTTGAACTGCCCCCAAGCAACGCGCCCAGAGAAGTGTGAAGCTTTATAAAAATTTAAACGCGTCTGTGGTGGAGGCAGGAGTGGGGCGGAGCGGAGGCCTGGAGATTTGGAGATGAGCTGGGGAGACCTGGAGGAGCCCAGCAATCTCAGTTTTCACTTTTCCAAACCCAGTTTGATGCCCACACGGTGAAGTCGAGCGAGCTCCTTCCGAAGTCCCGGGAGAGGTGTCAGGGCTCTTTATTATGGTGATTGCGTGGCTGGCGTGTGCATTTTGTTAAAACTCTTTATTGAGGGGGCCTGTGGTTGGGTGCATGCATACTATATAACACACGCATTCCAAAAGCTAGTATGCTGTAAAGACTCTGGCATTTCCACTGGCATGTTTATACATTTTACAAGGTTTGCTGAAAAATATTATAACTTGTGTCACCAGCCAACCGTGCTAATTAGCGTCCTCCTTCCAGTGGGTGTGTTGATTACACAGCTTCTAGGCTCTTTAAGTGAGATGGCAGAAACTGTCTGAACCCAGGGAGGCGTAATTAGCCATTTTATGCAACCACTAATTAGAGTTTTTAGAATTGAATTAAATCAATGCGATATAGTTGGGGCTTTGATTTGTGGAAGGAAACTGTTTTATTCTACATTTCAAAGAAACAACACACTTCGCCTGTCGGCTAGCCTTTAGCATATCCAAAGGTTGGTGGCTCTTAGTATGATTAGCCAAAACACCCAGTGTGGAAATTTTCACTGTGTAAGTTGCTGGCAACTTAATTTGTAAGTAAAATGAAAGAAGAATTGGGAGAGTGGTTTTTAAAGACTGCCTGTCAAGCAGTACATTTTTATTGTCTTATTTAGTGAGCAATAGGACAAAACCATACAGGAAACTGAAAAGTTTCCTTACCGAACAACAACTCTGTGACACCCTCTGTTGAATGAATGTGTTGAGTGAGGCAAGCACCCCACCCTTTCTTTTATCCCCCTGATGTATATGTAAAGACACACTCTGTTTTGCTTCAGCTCTAATTTGGGTTGGATAGGCCTTTTATCTCATTGGTTTATAATCAGAGTTCTTCACCTGGGCTGGAGGCTGGTCCCTAAGAGTGAAAACCAAGATTCATATCTTTTCCCCTGAAGCCTCCCCGCCATGCTTAAACTACTGAACTAATGAGAAGGAGTTGAAATTGCAGAATTTTTTGTGAGGTTGTATGTGGTTTGGAACAGCTATTGTTGCCTGCCCTCCCATATGTAAATAAACAATTCTGGTAATTGCTACATTGCTATAAATTTTCCATGCATGGATCAGAATGCAGGTTCTGGAATTAGTCTTTCGAAGTTCAAGCCCTGGCTGGAACACTTGCCATATGTGACCTTGTTTCCGTAACTGCACCATAACTGTTTTGTCTCCCTTGAAAACTTGTTCTGATGATTGAGATATTTCATGCAAATTGACTTCACACACAGTAAACCTTTGATGTTAGAGTATTACTACATCATTTCTGTGAAGGGAACTGGCTGTGGCTAGAGTCCCTGCTGTATATGGCAGGTGAGTTGGGCATGATTACTCTGCCATTTTCCGTAAGGAAGACAAGATTGGGTGGCTACAGCTGAACTCCATTTTTGATAAGAGAAATCTTCTTGGTGTCACTGAAGCCTGAAGAAGAGGTGCTCACAGTCTGTGTTGTTGTCTGTCTCCACTCGTATCTTTCCAAATCCCACTTAGAGCCACTGGACCTGGTGCCTTAGGATTTATAGAAGACTTACACCGTGCGTCAAATCCATTTCAGATTGCTTGGGGGAAAAAAATTCCATCAAAGAACTCCGGATACAGTTACAGTTCACAGCCCTTCATGAATCTCCGTGCAGATGCTAGGGGTGTTTCAGAGGTAATTAATGACTTAAACTAGTAGCAGTTAGTCTGGGAACATGAGTTGAAACAACTGGCAATTCAGGTAAAACAAGGCTGGCGTTTTCTCTCCTGATGAACAGTGGCCCAGAGTCATTCATTTAGAAGAGTTCTGTTGGTGTGAAAGAATCATTGATTTATCATGGGTCCTGAGCCCTGTGGGTTCTCACACCAGTGGCCTGTTTGGTGGTTTATGATTTATATGTGCAAGCTCAGCAAACTGTCCTGTAGACTTTGTCATGCTTATTGGCACCCTCCTTCCCAAACCCATGACCCTCCAAGGAAACCCACATGTAATGTTCTCTATTCTCTAACATTTACCCCCCACACCCCAAAGAATGATACATGGAGGCCTGTAAGAGACAGAGTGGAAAGTATTACTTAGCTTCAGTTCATAATAGCTATTAAAAGCTATTAGAATAAATCAAAGCAGTATAGGGAAGACTAGTGGATGTGATAGGTAAATCGTGTGCTAAACACTTCCTAACTGAAGGAATTCTTCATTCAGTAGTAGTTGTTGTGGGTGCTTACCACCTGCCAGGCCATGTTCTGAATGATTTTTATGAATCATCTCACTTAATACACGAGCTTATAAAGTGGTACAGTGTGGATGCAGAATACCCTTCAAAGCCCAAGTGCTGAAAGTTTGTTCCCTAACCCATAGTGCTTTGGGTACGTGGTGGAGTCCTTAAGAGGTGGGGCCCAGTAGGAAGAATGTTAGTTCATCAGGAGCAACCCCTTCAAAGAGATACGGGGAACCTGGTCCCTTCTCTCTCTTTGTATCCTGGCTGGTATGAGGTGAGCAGACCTCTGCCACATGCTTCTGCTGAGTTGTTCTATGCCAAACAACAGTGCCAAGCAATCATGGGCCAAAACCTCTGAAACTGTGAGCCAAAATAAACTTTCTTCCTTTTAGGTTGATTATCGCAGGGTTTTTGTTATAGAGATGAAAGCTGACTAATACAGTAAGTAAAGTCTAGTTTTATTATTCCTGGGGAAGCCTAGGCCCAGAGAAGTAGAATAATTCACTTTGATGTCACACAGCTGATTAAGTACCGGAGCCAGGATGTGAAAGGAGATGGTCTAACCCCAGAATGTGGGCTCCTCTGCTAGCTACTTCTGTCCAGAAGAAAGTTACTGTAGACAAAATTCTTTAAATTGTTCTTTTCCCTTTGCCTTCTATATAATTGAAAGTAGTTACAGAAAAATGTTAGCTTTAAGATATAATATAGATAATCATTAATGGAGTAGACCCTTTGGAATTCTATATGTAGTAAAATCAGATATTTGGAGTAATGTCCACAGTATATATAAACATTTTCATTGGGAGTAGCATCCATTGTAGAGGGAAGCCCGATGGCTCCTTCAGTTTAGTGTGTATCTGCACCCTTACACAGGACCTTTCAATCTTCCCAAGCAGAGCCCCTTTAATTAATAGCTCTAGGCAGACTGTTGATGTTTTTATAACTTCCTTTTCATGAAGGTTAGCTTATGTTTATCACTGTCATTACCATAACCTATTATTTCCCTCATGATTTTTTTCTGGGCACTGTTTTTCTTTTAAGTAAGAGTCAGGTGTGCTTTATAGGAGTTTAGCGAAAGATTCTACTTGAGGTCACCAACTTTTACTTTGTTTTAGTACAGAGTAATGGAGGAAGTTTCTTTCCAAAGTTTGACCAGGGAATTCTAACATTGAAGATGCTGCCACTCAGACAAAAGTGTCCTTTGCTCCCATCTTACCAATGTTTCCCAGGCCATGTGTTTTGGTGAGCTTCAGCCCAGACCCATGAACGATGCTCCTGGGCAGAGCTGAAAGGCTGGTTGCTGGTCTTTCCTGAGCACAGGTGGAACTTGAACTCTCTTGCTGAGCAATGTGAATCTTTCTGTTTAGTTCAGACATCACTGTTGTATCGACTCCCTGCAAGCTTTCTTCTATGAGGGTATGTCTCCATGTCCTGAGATCAGCAACAAAGCCCTTTAGTCATCCAACAAATGTTTATTGGGTGCCTGTTGGGTTCTAGGAACTGGAGAGAGAGTAAGCAAAGTGGTCCCTGCCCAGCGGAGCCTACGGCCTTTCTGGGAGGCTGATGTTCAGCGACTGCACAAGTAAATGTGTAACTGGAAGAGTGCAGGTGGTGGGCTGGCCTATTGCAGACTGGAGGATCAGAAAGGCCTTTCCAAAGAAATGGTATTTAAATTGGGAGGAATCAGGCAAAATGAGGCATGACAAAAGAATAGCAGATAAATTGGGTTCTGCTAAGGCCCCAAGGCTGTTTGGAAGAATTGGGCCTCTGAGGAACTGGAACAGCTGGCAGGATACTACAGATCAAGTGGAAGATTTTGTATTTTAAAATTCAGAGGGACACCATGGATTTGAAGGGTTTGAAGCAGGGAAGTGAAGTCTGCATTATGATTTAAAAGGTCAGCCTGACTGAAGTCCAGCTTGGACCAAACAATACAAGTCCTGTCAGAGGTCAGTATGACAGACAGTTGCAGGTTCTAGGATCTACATTTACACTTTCACCTGACTCTATCACATTCTGACCCGAGCATTAACTTGCTACCCAGTGAAGCTGGTTCCTTTTCCTTACTTTATTATCTTCACTAGTAAAGGGATCCTGTGGGACCTTGTCATGAGTTCTGTTCATTCCTTGTATATCCAGCATTACAGAGCTATGCATCAGAGCATGCTTTTTTATGAATTCAACTGGGAGCTTATCTGAGGTCAAGCTCTCTTCTAGAATGAGCTCTCTGCCTTCCTCCTTACTCAGATCTTAGATGAGGTAAGAGTTGGTAACCATGGAGGAAACAGAGAGACTTGAAGAAGAGGGCCAGGCTCTGTGCAGGCTGGATCACATAAGAATGTGATGTTCTAGGTTAGCCCTCCGTTGCTGTGAACAGGAAGAACAGGGGGAAGACAGGGGACAGACAGAGCTTAGTGATGGTGGGGTGTGTGAGATGAAGAGAGAGTACTGAAAATAGAGTTGTATTCATAGATTAGATAGGATGGTGGCATCACTGTGGCAGAGGATATTGGAAAGACTAAGCCAGCACATAAGAGAGCAGCTGTCATGGCCATGGTAATGTCATGTGGGACAGGAGCTGAACGTATGAGGAAAGTTACTTTTATTCTTCAGGAAGTAGTTGGTTCCCATTATCTCCATAGTATTTGTGAGAAAGGGAGTCATAGGCCTGACCCTAAAGAGCTTATCCTATAGGGAACCCATAGATGGAGAAGAATAATGAGGCATGCTTTGGGTGTTAAGGGATAACTTGCAGGTGCTGGGGGGCGGTGTTGAAGGAAAAGGACTAGCACAAGGGTCATCAAGTTGGAGACTAGTCACTAGGAGGACCCCATGACGGCAGACACTTAGCCTCTGTCCAAGCTATGCCCCTAGCATTGCTGAGCAAGTTCTTGTGACTGCTCATTAACTATGGAGATGAATGAGTGAAGAATGGGTTAAGAAGGGCTTTGGGGATGAGGACAAGGTTGTAACCTTTGGATTTGACTCAAAGCAATCTCTGGCCAACTTTTTCAATGGAGAGTTAGGGATAGGGGAGTTAGTGACCATGGAGAGGCAGAGAGAGGGCCTCATACAAAGATCCTCTGGCTTGGTAAGTATAGGCAGGAACTGTGGGAGAGAAAATGGGTAGAGTTAGGAAACAAGTATAGAGTTAGGAAAAAGGCTTTCCCCAGAAGGCTTTTGGGAGCTGTGATTTCCTTTGTGGGGCATGACTGGAGTTGCCCTAATGGATGGTCCATACTTTAATGAGGACAAAGAATGAAGACCTTCAGCAGAGAGGAAATGGTATGAAACTTTAGTCCTCACAGTGACCCTGGGAAGAGAATATTAAATGAAGCCAGTTTACTGGGGATTTGGGGGTGGGGTAGAACAGAAGCTCTCCAAGGTAAGCCTCTGCCCTGGGTTGTCAGAACTAGGAAGCACAAAAACAGAAGCAGCTCTGGTGTGCCAGCTTGGGGCCACCTGCCTCTGAGACAGCCCCCCCCACCCCGCCCCCTCCCGCCCCAGCATTTGGTGAGAAATAAGAAAGCAGGGTAGAATCAGGTAGAAACCAGAATTGAGAGCTATGGGCTGGAAGGCAGAAACAAGTGTGAGCTGGAAAGGGTTAATTATGAATCTAGAGAAGAGCGGTCAGTTTCTTTTTTGGAGAAGGAGCCAAACCGTGGAACCTACAGATCAACAGAGAGCTGGGCCAGCAGCTCTTAGGGAAAGAGGATCAGTTCTCACCGGGCTCCACATTTCTGGCTGTGCCTCTTGAGTTTGCTTATTTGTCAGGTCTAAGACCAGTCAGAAAGCAGTACAGGCTGGAGTAGAAAGGAATTGAAACTCTGGAGTGCTGAAAGCTCATTGAAATGGCTGGTGAAGTGGGTGGGAGACTGTAGGGGGCAGGAAAGATGAAATTAAGAAAAATATCTTGAAATCATCCGGGAAAATAGAGCTCAGCTCAGGAGCCAAACTAACGTCTAAAAAGATGCCTGCTTGTGTTTCACATGTAGTCTTTATCGTCACTCCCCTCCAAACAACCTACCTGACTTCCTTTTACTGGTAGGAAATTTGCAGCCCAAGGTTAGGCTGCCTTGCTCAGTACATAGCTGGTGAGTGAGCAGGGAGCCTGACACAGCCCCGTTCTGCCCACAGCAGGTGAGCCTTGTGGGGAGAGGCCCGGAGGTGCTGGCACTCTGCCCTGTTACTTTCCACGCTTTTTTATTGCTGAGAAAGACAAGGAGTTCCATGGCGTTTGGGCAGCCTGGGGGTGGGGGTGGGGGTGGGGGTGCTCAGGGCCACCCACTTTTCATTTACCCAGTGCATCTGGTGCCCATGCTGGGTGCTGTCACCTCTGCGGGCTCAGTTAGTCATCACAGCACTCCTGACTTTCACATGTAACAGATGTGGCTTCAAAGAGGTTTCATCATTTGACTTGAGATCCCACAGCTAGAAGTGAGGGATGTCTGTATCTGCTTACATTGCAACATCAGCCTTGTGAGATGGTAGCTGGTTTGCTGATCCCTGATTGACAAATGAGCACACTGAGGTCCAAGAAGGTAAGGAAGGGGCTGATCCCAGGCAGCTTGGGCTGGAAGCCAGGCTTCTCCATTGTTAGCCTTGAGCTCTTGATGGCAGATGACTGTCAAGGAATAACTTGATGGGGGAAGAGGAGGTTTTGGAGAAGGAGGAGTACCACACAGGCCATCAATTTGGAGGCCAGCCACCAGCAGGATCCAGGAGGACAGGCGGTTTCTGTTGTAGCCATGTTCCTGTCACTGCTGAGCAGGTCGCCTGGCTACTCATTAAGATGGAAGAGAATCATTGAACCAGCGGCCTAAGAAGGGCTTTGGGAAGGACGGCAAGAACGGGGTCCTTGGATTTGACCCAGCTGTCATCTACAGACATGTCATGGCTGAACCATTTTTTCCCTACCTATTCCTTGGTTTTAGGGACATTTTCATTCTCTCTAGCCTTTTGTTACAATAGATAATGAGGGAATAATGTTTTTCTTGAAGATTAGTTCAGGCTCCGCCAGGCACAGGGCCTTTCCTTTCACTTTGGAAGTGAAAGAATGTTACATCCTTTTTTTTTTTTTTTAATCTCCT